TACATTTGCTTCCGAAACAGAGGTCGATGGGCAACTCCCATTCCTGGATGTCCTTGTACGTCGAACAACCGATGGATCACTTCAGACATCCATTTATCGCAAAGAGGCGTATTCAGAGGTCATCCTACACTTTGAGGGTAACTACTCTGTCTCTCACAAACGAAGTACAGTCTACAGCCTTTTGAATCGAGCAAAAACTCACTGCTCTGATGAAACAAGTTGTCGAGCAGAAATGAAATGCCTCTACAAACTTTCCTCCCAAAATGGGTACCCGCATGACTTTATACGTCAATGCATGAGACACCAGCAACTCAAGGGAAAAGGTATTTCCAGTGCTACGGCCGCTCAGGCACCAAAACCAACCACATGGCGAACTTGCCCATACATGAAAAATGTATCTGAACTAGTCGAAAGACAATTGAAAAAGTACCAGATACACGTAGCACACCAGCCGCCAACTACCTTACACGCACAGCTTCTACACCCTAAGGACAGGGTTGGCTACCTCGAAAGAAAAGGTGTCGTCTACAAAATCCCATGTTCTAGTTGTGATGCCGTTTATTGTGGCCAAACTGGGAAATCTGTCTCAACCCGTATACATGAGCATCAGTTAGCGGTGAAGGGACGCGATCATCTCTCCCAGGTGGCCATGCACACACTGGACACTGGGCACAAATTTGCATGGGAAAACACTCGCATTGTTGGCGCCTGTCCAACAGGGAAAGGCCGCGAATTCCTGGAGGCAATGCACTCAGATGAGGCATGCATCAACCGGCATATCGATTTAGATGCCACATGCAAAATCAGTAAGGACGGATTCAAACTGGCTCAACCAATCCCGAGATGATGACCTCAACCAATCATAGAATCCTTTTGCAGACTCAGTCTAGAAGTTAATTGTTTTTGCACGTCCGTTGTCTGCAGACGAGCTGGGGAACCAGTCTCGAAAACACACATTTATGTAAATCAGGTGCTACCGACCAAGACATGGGAGACCGGAATGGCCATTTCTGGCTTATTAGCCGTCATCAGCCAGTCATACCCAACCCCAAGCGTGGATCACTTGAGATTCGAACCCGGGATCTTTGGTCATGGAGTTTGACTCTCTGCCATTGATCCACGGGCCCGTTGTCCTGTCGGTTGTGATCGGGAATATTAATTATGATAGTGGGCGCTCACCGATCAGGTTACGGAACATGCTCGTTCCGTTGTGCCTTGGGGCTCATACTAGAACCCTCGCATGCAGGCGCACAGCGACTAGTAGAATGATGTAAATCAGGTGGTACCGACCCAAGGCACAACGGATCGAGCATGTTCCGTAACCTGATCGGTGAGCGCCCACTATCATAACACATATATGTATATGTATGTTGCAAGGGGCGCTCAGCGATCGCTCTTACGGAACTCACCCTTTCCGTTGTGCCTTGCGGCTCTCCCTCGAGCCCAACCAGCAGTCGCACAGCGGCGCATGATATAGGCAGTATGTTATTACCGAAAAAGACAAGCGAGACTGGAGTGGCCATTTCTTGCATCTTAGCCCAAACCAGAAGTGTGGAACACCTAGGGCGTTGGATTTCTGACTGACAGGTCGCGGGTTCGAGCCGCAGGTGTCCCACACTTCGGGGGTTGGGTATGACTGGTTGACGACAGCTGATAGGCCGAAAATTGTTATTTCAGTATCCCGTGTCTTTGTCAGCAACAAAATAATGACAGAAAATCAGCAGTAATCTACAACATTCCATGCCAGGATTGTAATGGATAGTGTGCCAGAGCTACGGACGAGTGAGTGTCAAGTGCAGACAACCGCACCCATCTCTCCCACAAAAGTAAAAATAATAATACTCATCGTTCGATCGCCGAAGAATCCTCAAAATTGTCATCTCGCGAAATGTCAAACAAATTAATGATAGTTGGACCATTATCCGTATTTGTATACTGAGTAGCGTTTTGCAGGCATTAATAAAACTGACAATATGAGCTACAGTAACAGGGAGATTTTTAGATAGAAAACGTCTTATGTTGAAGGTCTGCGGTTCGTTTTTATATTAATTTGGAATATTTTAGGATAGTCTGCAGGAATTTATGGGTGTTAGGAAGTTCAAAAGGGAATAACAAGGAAGATCGGGATTTGGATTCTATGAATCAAAATTTTATCTGTACCTCATGTCATTTATCAAGTTTTAGTGTTGTATTAGAGGAGAGGGCAGACACAATCCTACACGTGAAGGAAGCGGTGAAAGTTCAGAATCTCCCGATTAGATGCGAAACTGATGCTGTCTTTACGATGAAAATCTCGTTCGATTTTATGCTTACAACAGTTCGACCGTCGTTGCCGACGATTCCCACCGTGGGCTCCACATCAGGATGGGAGCAGGGATGGCTAACTTTGAGTGAATAAGTTGTAGTGATAGTGGACTTGCACAGCATCTACCGCACTCTGTATTTCTCCCCGCCTGAACCCAGTGTCAAGACACAGTAAAGAAGACCGGAGGCGGGTGAGGACGCAGGTGGATGACATGGTCGAGTCCGCACCTTAGCGCTCCACTCCACACTCCCTGATCCACACAGCAAATGACCAAGTTTTTTAACCAACAACAGCATCGGGGGCGACAGGGTCTCAGTGTGCGCGAAGTCTGCCGGCAACCGGATCTGCCACCGCATCCCGAAATGGTGGCATTTGTTATAGTGCGTAAATCCGATAGCGCCTGCCGGACACTGGCATTCGGTTTCATCTTTAACTTTGACGCTGACTTTCACTTACTGTCTCACTCTTGAAGTCATGAAAATTAGTGAAGCTGGACTGCGTTAGAGCTGGTACACGCCATCTTATATGTCCTCCGAGTACGTGATAGTAAGTTTCTCAGCCTGCAGTGTACATCGTCATTTAGCATTCTGCAAATGTCTAGTGTCAATGAAGAGAGCATGGGTGCATTCAAGTTGACTGCTTGCTGTTAGGGAAGCGGTGAACGGTTATTATTAAAGAAAGAAGGTGTCCAGCGTGTTTGTTGATTTTGCAAGTTCTCGCTCCGTGCACACCTACCCCGATAACGTAATTCGCGTCAGAATTGACGTCAAGTCGAAATCCTTTCCAAGAGAACGACTGATTTGTAGTACCTCAAGTGCGTACAAGTCTTCCCTCTTGGGCAACTGCGTCGCGCTAGGATTCATGTGATCACAACTCTCGAGCGGCCAGAATATGTGCGCCTGCAGCTCCTAGGACCGCCAATCGCAAACGCCCACGAACTCGTCTATCACTCAATCAATTGGCTTAGCTGACGTTGACTGACTCTCAGATGACGCCTATTCCTATACACCCACACCACACTAATGGGTAGATGCTTGACCAGAAATTGGCCGCGCATCGAGTAACTCCTACCCCCACTGAGCATCTGTATGGGAAACACATCTCCTACTGGTTTTGTACCCTTCTCTGCTGAAAGAGGACTGGGCCAGGAATATTGTGGTGTTCTGCGTATGCTCAGTATGTTATTACCGACAAAGACAGGAGGGACTGGAATGGCCGTTTCTGGCTTATTCGTCGTCATCAGTCAGTCATACCCATCCCCGAGGTATTGAACACCTTGAGTAAGCGCCTCCCTCTACCATTATGCTCACTATTTGGACGGAACAGGTTTAAGTCGATTTCGTCATAGCCATATCCTTAGGATCATCAGCACAAACTGATGATTGCAGTGTCGCCATGCTGAGGAAGTATTACTAGTGTGCATCGAAAGATATACATAGATAGATATCGCGTTCATCATCTCCCGAAGAAGACGAAGAAGAAGAGAGGGCGAATCCATGGACCATATTGTATCCGAACTGACGTTTCGGAAACTTCCTCGTTTCCATCATCAGAGTAGCGTAATTGTTGCACTTGCGGGTCTTGA